ATTTTTTTACCATCCCTCTGGATCCTCAATGTTACTTACTATTTGCTTTTACTTGGGAAAATCCGGACACACACCTCCCAGCAACTGGCCTGGACAGTCCTGCCTTAGGGTTCCCGGGACAGCCCTCATCTGTTTGGTCAGGCATTAGCCAGTGATCTCTCGACATGTCATACTCCACCCAGCACTCTCCTCCAGTGTGTTGCTGACCTCCTCCTCTGCCGTCCTTCTCTGCCACTGTCTCAGCAACACACTGCACAACTCCTCAGCTTCCTGTGCTCCAAAGAATACTGTCTCCCCATCCAAAGCTCAACTTTCAGTTCCCATAGTCATCTATCTGGGTCTTTGACTAACTCCTTCCTCCAAACAGCTGACAGTGGACCATAAACAGGCCATCCGGGACCTTCCCTCCTCTGAATCGACAAAACAAATCCTTTCTTTCCTAGGTTTGGTTGGATTCTTCTGACACTGTATCCCTAATTTTGCTTCCTTAGCCAAGCCACTGTATGATACAGCAAAAGCCTCCCTGAAGGACCTCTCCAATCCCCCGGAGAGTCCGCAGGGTCACACATATCCTTCTGAAGACACCTGTCCTTACCCTTCCTGATCCAGAAAAGCCTTTGCTCCTGTTCACAGCCGAACGTCGGGTTATGGCGGCAGGTGTCCTTTCCCAGCCTCTGAGCCCAGCTCTGCGTCCTGTCGCTTATCTCTCCAAGCAGATGGATTCCACTGTCAGGGGCTGGCAACCCTGCCCTAGAGCCCTGGCAGTGGCAGCCCAACTCACCCGAAAATCCCTCAAACTTACTCTAAAAAGACCCACCCAAGTACATTCCCCTCACCGCCTTCAGGACCTCCTGTCTCGCCGCTCGCTCTCCACTCTTACTCCTTCCTGCTTACAAAATTTCCGTATATTCTTTATCGAAAACCCTCTAGTGAGTCTCACTCAGTCTAATTCTCTCAACCCAGCCACTCTCCTGCCTGTCTCTGGTCCCCTTTCTGCCGCCCATTTCTGTCCTGAAATCCTGGAAGATACGCAAACTCTCCTTTGTCAGATGCCTCCTGTGTTTGTAGACTGGCAGCTCTTGTGAAGATGCACGCGGTCAGCGGAGGGCCACCTAGGCCACTGTTACCATCGATCAGGTAATCGACACAGAAAAACTGCCTGGAAGAACCACCTCCCAAAAGACAAAACTCATATAACACTTAACCAGGGACCTTACCCTCAGCAAACGTAAGAAAGTCAACATCTATATAAATTCAAAATATGCCTTCCTTATTGCTCACAGTCATGCTGCGATTTGGCAGGAAAGGGGGTTCCTTTCCACCAAGGGGTCCCCCATCATAAACGCTAAACTTATCCTTAAGCTTTTAATAGCCTTGCAGCTTCCAACTGAAGTCGCCATTATCCACTGAAAGGACACCAACTGACAATTCTTACGTTACCACAGGGAAAAACAAGGCGGATGCAAGGGCTTTTGCTCTCACAACTGACTCTGCTGCAGACCCTTCCCCTATCTATCAGTCCCCTCCATCACTCCGACTTAGGAGCCTAATGAGCGCCAATTCCTGAGTCTTCTCTTCTTCCACCCCTCCTTGAGTGCAAAAGTCTGACAAATATGTTCCTGTCGTCAAACCTATGCTTGCATGTCACCTCAAAGGGGAGTTCGCCTACCCTCTTTTGCAGCTCACCGACTGCGTGGACACCTACCGGGACAGGATTGACCTCTCCCTACTCAGCCAACTGCTCCAGGAACACACAGACCGGTACTTACCCAGTCCTGCCTCGGATCTCGACCCCCTCAACCAACCTTCCCTACCACTACATCCAGGAGACCAAGTCCTGCTCAAATCGCTTCAGCCAAAGCCACTGCAGCCTCGGTGGACCGGCCCACGCACGGTTATTCTCACCACGCCTACAGCAGTAACACTTCTGGGACACCCCTCCTGGCACCATCTATCACGGGTCAAACGTGCCCCTGAAGACAAACAGTATGTATGTTATAACCTGGCTCCTACTAGAATGTACATTTCTTGTCAAAATCTCCCCTAGTTCAGTATCCTGTGTATGGAAATTCAAAGTTCTGGAGACCTTTGTCTCAGGATCCACTGAGACCACCCACTAGGTGGGTACTGCGGAGTGCCCACAGGCCAGATGCACAGCACTTATCACTCTCACCCTAACTCTTTCATCGATTACTAACCCTATAAACACCTTGTTTTGTTTCTTTACCATCAAACCTTAGATCACTACAAAAACACCTATAGAGAATATGGGGGGTGCCCTTACCAGTCATGCACAGTGCACCTTCCAGACAAAGGCCAAATGTTCTCTCTGGTCCATCATAATACGGGCTTCAATATGAATCAAGTTAGCTATGCTATTTCAGATCCTTGGGACCAACGTTGGGTACAGGGAGTCCAAGCCGCAGTGTGCACTGGCTGGCATTCCTATCCAGTGGCAACACTGTCCATCTCAAGAGAATATGTCCCGACACAAAATGCCACAGTCCAAGTCTCCCAGGACATCCTCCATTCAGAACAAATCCTATAAAATTAGCTAACATCATCAGAAAAGACCGAGACACCCTCAACCTGGATTCATATAATCCAAAACGCTATAACCTTCCTAAATGATTTTTTTGAAACTAACACCTCCTCTTGTTTCCTCTGTGCTTCCCTTTGGAGGCCTCTACTGGCAGCAGGTCCAATTAATCTCAATACCACTACGACCAAGATAACGGATGCTGCTTGCCAGACTCCCCAACTCTCAGTCATCCTATGGGACTCCAATCACAGCTACCCCTGTTATCAAACTGATGCCCTTGTCAGCTTTCATTCCTGTGCTTCTAACATTTTGGTTACTTCTGTACTCCGAACAACAGCAAAGAGAAACTTTTTCTGGTGCAATGGCTCTCTCTCTCTCAGTGTATTAATTCTGCTACTCCAGGCCCACGTATCCAAGTCCTCGTGGTCCCACAGTTAGCTCTGTACAGACGGTCTGAGCTAGGTTAGTTATTCTCACCACATTGGACTAAGCGGGCAGCCTTTCTTCCAATCATGGTTGGAATCAGCCTGGCATCATCGATAGCAGCTGCAAGTATGGCAGGTGGGGCCCTGGGACACAGCCTGATTTCTGCCCAGGAATTTTATGAACAAATTGATACCTCCTTAGAAAAAACCTATGTTGTCTTCAACATCATTAAAAAGACAGCTCACCTCCCTGGCACAGGTCACTCTCCAAAACCAGCGGGCTCTGGACTTGTTAACAGCTAATAAAGGGGGTACCTGCCTGTTCCTCAGGGAAGAATGTTATTACTAGTAAAACCGGGGACTCCAACTCTCCGCTGACATGGTTTCCAAAATCCTATAGTATCATGGCTCCTCCCACTCTTGGGGCCAATACTAATGACAACCTTATTTTTTTCTTTTCGCTCCCTGCCTCCTAAAATTCATACAGGCTCACATTTGGGAAATGTCTCCTACCACCTTTAACCAACTCCTTCTCCACCCATATTCTCACATCCCTGCAGAAGACCCTCATAACCAGGCCTAAGCCACCCCCTTGATCTTCACCCCTTTTCAGCAGGAAGTAGCCAAAGAAAGAACCGTCACCCCTTTTCCTATCAACAAAAGGCTGGTATGAAAGGTCCATGCAGGAAGCCAGAATGCAGGGGCCAACCAGGAAGCCCACCTGGGGGGCAGGAATGCGGATACCTGCCTGGAGGACTCAGACAATGAGCCTCCCCCCTCCCCCTAGGAGTCTCATCTCAGACAAAGAACCTCTACCTGCCCCACAAACTTTTCCCGCCGTACGAGCCCAACTACCCACCTGACCTCTCCTCGCCCTATAAAACCCTGCTTCCCCCTAACAACGTGCGTGACTCCACTGAACCCCCGCCTTGGGTCTGTGAGGTCCGCCCGGGGCGCAATAAACTTTCCCTCCCTTTGAGAAATGTAGCCTGGCTCTCCTTTTCTTTACCGCGCCGAACCTTTCAGGGACCACCCTGTTACAAAACATGTCTAAAAAAGATATGTGAAAGCAATTTTATGAATGCTGACTGATGATACTGGGTTTACAAATGTAACCTAATCAGTGTGTCAGTTGTCTATGATATTAACTACAAAGGAATGTTAATATTTCTAATTTATTAAACATAATATTAAATGTACATCAGCAAACTCCAATAGGCTGAGTTAAAATTTTACATTCATTCCTTTAAAATGCAGTATTACTTGAGAGATTTAGTTCTACAGACATAGAGAATAAAAGTTTCCTAATCTGTCTTGACACTGTTATAGGACAAGGAGAGGGGCAGCCCAAACCCCGCAAACCTGCCTATACTAAATGGGTTCTGCCATCCGCCGCATCAACACAAAACACATGAGACTAATGGGAAGGATCTTTAATAAAACTAGGAAACAATACAGGTAAGGCAAAGAGTCTAGTTTCTAAATGAAGCACCCAAAGTTACCCGTCCCCTCGTGGGTAAAAGTCCATCCATATGGGATAGGCCCAGAACAAGGCCCCAAAGCCTGCCACAAGTCTAAAGCATCTTCCAGTGGGGACCCACAGAAAAGGGTCACAAACAACCAAACAAGCCCGGAAGGAAAAGAGCAAAATCAACATCAAGATAAAAGCTGCCATTGTCACCTCCCCACGGGTCTCACCCACATCTGTGTCACCTAGTCCACGACCAAAAGACAAGCACAGTTTCTTCACGTGTCTCTAGGCTCCATGCGCCTCTTCCAGGTCTCCTGGCTCCATCCTGCTTCCTTCCTTCCTCAGTCTCTTCTCCAGCTTCTCCTCTTCCTGCTCAGCTCCACCCTCCCTTGGGTGGGGCAGGGAACCTCCCCCTTTCCTGGGGACCACCCTGTTACAACACCAAGGCAAAGAAATGCATTTTTCTCAAAACCCACTCCAGGACTGAGGAGTGAGCCTCCACTGACTACAAGCATGAAGCAGCAAATCAAGAACACAGGGAAACTGTTCCCAGCAGCCTCACCTGCATCCTCCTCCTCCAGACTGGCATGATCTATTTCAATGTTTACCTCTGCTCCTCCAAGGATGGCCTGGAGTCGTTTTTGTTTTGCTGTTATCTTCTTTAGTTGTTGTTCCTTAAATAGTAAATATTGAATAAAGAAAACAGCAGTGAAGTGATTTATTGTTAAATACAAACAAAAGCATTACAAAAATCTAAAAACTTTAATCAAGAGCAAAAAAAAAAAAAAAAAAAACCACAAAATTTCACATAATGTTATTACTACAGAAAATCTGATTTGAGTCATTACCACTTTCCTAGCAGGAAGCAGGCCTCAGAGCTTTACATCAAGTAGGCATTCCTGTGCCCACTGCTCTCCTGACTGGCGGTTTTTTCTGTGCTGGGCACTTACGTTCACAGATACTGACTCCCCACTGACTGGGGAGGTAGCACTGCTCTAGTCAGTCCCCCCATTTCACACCAGGTAAGTCACTAAACTCTGTATTTCTGAGTAGCAATGAGTTAGGCAGTCAATAGGCTCTAAGGATAAGAAACATAAGCCCAACTGTTCAAACAACTGAAAAAGTCAGCCCCTTTTGATAATCTATCATATTTATGACTGATCTTTAGAGTAGTCTATCCAATCACAAAATTTTAAAAGGAAAATATGTTTTGATGTACACTTTTATCATACCCACCCCAGACTCTGTCTTGTGTCCTTATATATCATCAAAGCTCAGGTCTGTGACCATTCCTAGGATTTTCCCGATAAAATAGGCCTGTGGTTCATCTTCCCAAGGCAAAAATAATTAAACACTAAATAGTCTATTCCTAAGCATAAGAAAGCTGCTAAAGAATGACAGGGATATTTGAGTTAGACAAATGCCTAAAGTAGCCTAAATTTTGGTCTTCTCTGCTCCTTGAAACCCCAGCCCACAAGAAGCCCCAGGGCAGAGAAGGCCTAGGCAAATTCATTCACATACTCCAAAAGATCAGACTGATTTGGGGACAGCCTGGCTGCCTCAAGTCACGATAGTTCTGACCTTTGGACTGCTATTCTGGAAGTGAGAAAATATGGGGTGATGAAGACAATGGACTAATGAATGGAAAACAAAAGGTGAAACTGGGCCTATGTACTCCCTTCCCTACCCCAGAAAAGGTTAAGCTAAAAATGCAAGGATTCTACTTGTTACAATGAATCAAATGCAGACACAAGAATATGGACTAGTCATTTTGAATGTCGGAAATAAAATTATCAAAACTAGTCATTCTTACCTACTACAAAGTATTTTTATAAAGCATAGATTCTAAAAAATGTTTCAAGGGCCTCCCCGATTGAGCGCTGGGTTGCAAAGCTGCCCGCAGCCTCTGCAGCGCCAGTTCGATCCCCAGCAACCAGGCAAGGGTCCCATATGGCGCGCAGACCTCTCCTGCTGCCAGCTGCTCCCCTCAGCAGTGTACTTTGGTCCTTCTGCCTGTTCTGCTCCCTGCTCTGGCTCTGGTGAATTCTCTCACCCTCCCGCGCTTCTGACCATACCCAGTGCTTGTATAAATAAATAAATATATCTTTAAAAAAAAAAAAAAGAAAAAAGAAAAAAGATTTTAGGGCCTCCCCGGTGGCGCAGCAGTTGAGCGCTGGGTTGCGAAGCTGCCGGCGACCTCTGCGGCGCCGGTTCAATCCCCAGCTGCTCCCCGGCCACCAGAGGAGGGTCCCACATGGCGCGCAGACCTCTCCTGCCGCCCGCTGCTCCCCTCAGCAGTGTACTTTGGTCCTTCTGCCTGCTCTGCTCCCCGCTCTGGCTCGGGTGAATTCTCTCACCCTCCCGCGCTTCTGACTGTACCCAGTGCATGTATAAACAAAACAAACAAACAAATAAATAAATAAATAAAAACATGCCTCTATAAATAAAAAAAAAAAAAAAAATTAAAAAAAAAAAAAAAAAGAAAAAAGATTTTAAAAAAAAAAGTTTCAAAGCTCATAAAAACAATTTCCTAAATAAGATATTCCCTACCCTTAAGTGTTATCACTCTAAGTGCAGACCCAGCCAGTGTGGCTGGCTGGTGACAGCAATACCTACAGCAGCCTCCCAGGACAGTGAACATGAGTGTGTGAGCAGTGATGGTGACATCAACAGGGAACAGAGTGTAAACAATCAGTGCAAGCAGGAGCTAATCAGAAGAAAGGAAAGTTAGGCAAGACAAGGGATCAGCATGCCAAACATGAGCCTAAGCTGGGTGAAGCAAGACAGACTATGGGAGTACACTTGATTAAGGAGGCTCTCAGAGCCAAAAAGGGAACTTAGTCTCAAATAGGTATGTGTGTTTATGTGTATATTTAGGTCTATATTTTAAAATACTCTTTAACACAGATTGCAAAAAGAAAACAGCTAAAATATTAAACATACAAAGAAACTAAAAAATCTTATTATGAGTATTTGCTTCACATCTTATACTTTTCAGAATACTTTCTAAATATTAAATTAGTCTAAATGATGACTTTTTCAAAAATGCAGTATTTAATGTGTTATTTAGAGTCACCTTATTATACTTCTGTCGTTTTACAGAATCTAGTTTCCTGTTGATGTCTCTGTTGGTGGCAGCTTGAGGACTAAGTTGTTCGATAATTTTATTGATTTGCCTTAGGGATGTTGTACATGACCTGAAAAATAAAATAAAATGTCTATTTTCCACTCTGATAACATTTTTTTTTAAAGAGAGAAATGCTAAAAACATGTCTGTTTTTACTTCTATTAACTAAAAGATGAAATAAAATTAAACCAGCACTCACATTCTTTTTAGCTACTAACAGAACTGGAAAGGTTGTTAGAAGTGGAATATGACCTCTAGTGTTTTCCTTCTCTCTGGCTGATTTAAATCAGCTCATCCCCAATTATTAGCTAATACATTCAGTCTACAAGCATTTTTAAGTATCTGCTTTATTAAAGTGATTGTACTAGAACAATGTGCAGTAAGTTGTCCTTTTATATGAGAAAAAAAAAAAAAGCATACTTTTTAAGGAAGGTAGAGCAACTTCCCATATAACCCCTGCCCCAAACATGTAGAGCCGCCTCCTCCTCCCATTATCAACTATGCATAGGTTTTAAAAACTCATTACGGAAGTTCCCCAAAGTCTGGAAAAGTACTAAATATGCTCTAACAGTTTCTTATATAAGCGAGGCATCTATGACAATATTTTTCGTTCACATGACTGGAAGTGTGATGCAGTAGCATCACACTTGTAGTGTGAAGGTGAAAAACATTTATAATAAATTACTCCTAAAATAGACTCCATAGAATTGTTTAGCTCAACTTTGAAAGCACTTATGTAATTGCCTGACGCATATAATTTGCTATTTGTATCCTTTGCAGATTGTAGGATAAGACGTCATCAATGCAAGTTACTGGTGGTCTAAGCACCACGTGTCAGCATCAGTCTAGTGTTCCCCTGCCTTGTGACCCTGCAGCACTCTCCTTTGTCTGTCACCTCTGCAAGTAGCAGACACATTTCCAAGGTCAAAGGTAAAAGTTTGCTCATTACAAGGAGTCAAGGTCCTCACACCTGAAGGTCAGACTACAATGGCCAGAGAACACCTGCTATTCAAGAGGCTAAAGAACATAACAGGAAATTTAGCAGAAAACATGTCCTTGAAGTGCCAAGAGCCACTGGTACCACAGCCTCTTCCTCCGGGTACCCAATATCTCCACGTTGCTCCCTTGCTATGATCCCCCAACCACCCCCATATCAGCAGCACCATTCTTTGCCTTTCTTTTGCTTCTTGACTTTGCCCACAACACTGCCCAAGAAAGGGCAAACTGTCAATGCAGAGCGGGCTCACTCTGCTACACTAGCCCAGGTCCAGAGCCCACCCACCTGCCCATGATTATTTATGCTCATCAGAGCCCACGTGTTTCTGTTTCTCCTCTGAAACACAAATGAAGTCTCCATGGTACTTCATCTTTCCTTACAGAGCTAAAAGTAGGACAGAAAAAAGGAAAAGCAGGGAGATGTTTCTCATTTCTAGAAGTGTAAATCTGAAAAACTGCCACAAGATTAACACTCAGTTTAGGGACAAAACACTGCAAAGAAACTACAGAACAGAGAAAACCTGGCGGGGGGAGGCAGGGACAGATGTGTCTCCATCATGTCAAGTAGGACCATTCAGCACTTCAGGTCCTGTGTCTGACAGCCACTCTGTGCACAGGCGAGTCTGTCCTCAGGCACCAGAACAGCATTTCTCTGTAAGACATTATGCCTAACAGACTGTGGCGGGCTGGACACAGACCCTAGCTACTGTATATGGTGCTGCCCCTGAGGGAAAGGGCTGGGTCTCAAACACCAGGTCAAGACGGTCCTTAATGCCTCCATTCTGATCAAGAGGTACTCAAAATCTCCTAAGTTTTTGGAGTACTACAGCTATTATCTGAATTCCTCTGTTATATGTAAACACAAACCCTGATGTCAGGAAGAAGGTCCACACTCACGTGAGGTCATCCAGGACTGAACGATATTCCTTCTCTGCATCGGCGAGCTGGGCCACCCGGCTGGCCTCATGGATTGCGCTATCCACCTGCTGAAGCACACCTTGCTCCAGCACGTCCTGGTCATAGACATCCACGCCCAAGCCCTGAAGTTCAAGGGCTTGTGCACTCAGCTCCACTGTCTGGATCTGACTTCTGTCAATGTGTAGCCGGGCCAGCCCTTTCTTGGGAACCTCTGACGGACACCCTTCCGTGGAAGTGGATGGCCTGTTAGCAGAGGAACACGAGGGAAGACTCTCCTCCATCTCTGCGTCATCATTTTCTTGCTTGATTGTCATTTCTTCATGCTCACTGACATATTGACCTTGAAAGTGGTCTTGCTCTTGGGTTTGGCTCAGTTGGGAGATTCCCTCATTTGGCATCCTCTACAGACTAAAAGGAAAAAAGAAATTTTAATAAGCCTTTTGGTTTTGTAGAATTGGTATTTATGTAGTTTCTTAAGTATCTTAAAGTAGAATGATTTCCCAAACATTCAAGTTTCTACTTATTCTTTTTTTTTTTTTAAAGATTTATTTATTTATACAAGAACTAGGGTACAGTCAGAGGCACGAGAGGATGAGAGAATTCACCAGAGACAGAGCAGGGAGAAGAACAGGCAGATGGACTGAAGGCAGGAGAGGTCTACCACCCCATGTGGGTTTCTCCCTGGCCGGCCGGGAATCGAACCCCTACCGCAGAGGATGCGGACAGCTTCACAGTGCAGCGCTCAACCCGCTATGTCACTGGGGAGGCCCTCTACTTATTCTTTTTGTTAAAAGGGCACAGACTTTTTTCTTCTTGAGTTCTGATAATAGACAAGAAGGAAGGAGAAATGGGGCCATCAGGGCAGCCTGGCAACCAAAATCCTCAGGGATTGCCAAATCTTCTCCAAGTCATCTGAAGTCATCAAACTGCTGCTTCCCAAATTGGCATCTTCACTGCATCATGGCACAAATGATTACAGTGGCATGATCAACTGTAATATGCAGATTCAACAACATAAAGAGAGAACTTCTATACCAATCTAACACTGGAAGCTTTCAAGTTGAATATTGGTGGCAATAAACTCTCAGACCACTCAAATGAGAATCTGAGAAAAATTAATTAAAATATTCTCAAAAACTACTTCAACTCGGGCCTCCCTGGTGGCACAGCGGTTGAGCACTGGGTTGCGAAGCTGCCCGCGGCCTCTGCGGCGCCGGTTCGATCCCCGGCTGCTCCCTGGCCACCGGCGGGAGGATCCCACATGGCGCACAGACCTCTCCTGCCGCCCGCTGCTCCCCTCAGCAGTGTACTTCAGTCCTTCTGCCTGCTCTGCTCCCCACTCTGGCTCTGGTGAATTCTCTCACCCTCCCGCACTTCTGACTGTACCCAGTGCATGTATAAACAAAACAAACAAACAAATAAAATAAATAAATAAATAAATAAAACATGCCTCTATAAAAAAAAAAAAAAAACCTACTTCAACTCAATACATAATATATCTCAGGCATTAAATTGGCAAAAACATAAAGCCTCATAATATGAAGTATTATTACTTACTGCTGGCAGGAATATAAATTAGTGAAGCTCTCCTGGAGGCTAATTTAGCAGTATCTATAAAGACTAAAATGCACACAACTTTTGGCCAGCTATTCCAGTGTTACTTATTCCAGCAAAACATTCAGATATATATAAGGATGTTTACTGTAGCATGTTTTTACTACTTTAATGGAGGTATTAAGTATTTTCAGTGGTACTAGTATAAAAGCCAAGTAAAGTGAAAAAAATCGCATAGGATGAACACCTTTATGTTGAAAAAATGTGTATCCACTACTGTGCATGTGAAAAAGTGAATTGAAAACACATATTAAGCCGCAACAGTTAAGAAAAGGAAGCAAAAAGAACAAGGAGGATTAAAGGGGAACTTTCGCACTTTACATGACTCTGCCTGCTCAGAAACTCCCTGAATGAAAATGCATTCACCATACTATCTGTGTAACTATTCAGTGAACACATAAAAAGGCAATCAAGAGGCAACCTCGGAGTTTTTTTAATTAAACTTATTTTCTTACATCATTGTTAATGTTTCTACAGTATTTGATTTCTCCCCTCAGGTGTAGTCCCCATTCTCCTAGATTAATTCTCCGTAGTCCCCATTCTCCTAGTCCCCATTCTCCGTATCTGTAATTCATCCTTCCTCCCTTGTGCTCCTCCCTTCTGTTTTGACCCCTCTCATCCCACTGCTGTATGCCTTAGATCCATGGTCAGCTTGCAAGTTTGTCTTTTTCCCAATCCTTTGTTCAATTTCTCTATATTCCACATATAAGTGAAACCATCCAATATTTATCTTCTGCCTTCTGCTTATTTCACTTAGAATAATCTCTTCCAACTCCATCCATGTTGCCACAAATGGCATTAATTTTCTCTTTTTTAATCATGAGGGAGTCTTATTTTTTATTTACTGTGAATAAAGTAAGTTTTCTTTCAGCACTGACACTTTATTTCTATGAAATGATCATTAAATAAGATACCAGCTGCCCAGCACTAGCATACAAATTTGCCAAGATCTTAGTCCAGTGGCTCATTCTCTTGTAGAGGAGAAGTATATCAGTAACAACACTGTGGGGCAAGTCTGCAGGAGCGGCAACAGCAAGAGGTCATTTGGATACAAGATGGGATAATACATTCTGTCTGGAGCAAGAACCATGTACAAGCTGAGATTTGGATACCCAGCCCTGGGCCTGATATACAGGAGGTGCTCAATAATGAAAGAAAGTAACGGTCAAAAAGAAGCCTAAAATAACAAAAAGTCTTGTTTTGATAACTGAGTCAGTGATGAATTCAATTACAAAAATGAGACTCTCAGAAAGAAGTAGGTGAGAACTAGGGAGAGGGGCTGGTGGAGAGCTTGTAAGAGATCAGTAATGTGTCCAGCAGGAAGTCAGGAATACTACCCTGAGCTCCAGAAACAATGGGACAAGATGTGCACACATTGGGGCCTCCCTGGTGGCGCAGCGGTTGAGCGCTGGGTTGCGAAGCTGCCCGCGGCCTCTTGCAGCGCCGGTTCGATTCCCGGCTGCTCCCCGGCCACTGGAGGAGGGTCCCACATGGCGCGCAGACCTCTCCTGCCGCCCGCTGCTCCCCTCAGCAGTGTACTTCGGTCCTTCTGCCTGCTCTGCTCCCCGCTCTGGCTCTGGTGAATTCTCTCACCCTCCTGTGCTTCTGACTGTACCCAGTGCTTGTATAAATAAATAAATAAATCTTTGAAAAAAAAAAAAAAAAAAAAAAAAAAAGATGTGCACACATTGGCAGTCAGAACAAGGATCCCAATCAGTTAGAAGAAGCTAACACTGACAAGGCTAAGTGTAGAACAGAATAAGAAAGTTCCTCCGTTTTGGGGCCTGCTCATTATTTTCAGGAGAAAGGGTGAGCTTGTTGCTCATTTAATTAGTCTCCATATTCAACAAAGAACAAGATTCTAGCTCCAAGTCTTCAAACTAGTTGAGCAAGTATCTGAAAGATGACTAGGAGTTAAATAGGCCAAAGGTGGTGTGAACTTTTTGCAACGAAACAATATACATGATTTCAAAGACTTTAGGAGCTGGTGTGTTTGGGAAAACAATAAGGGCTGGAGCACAGTGAGAACTGACTGACGTTATTTTACATGAATAACCTAGTTAAAAGAACTGGTAAGGGCTGCATTCACTGAATGACTCTTACACTTATCTTCTAACACTCCTCAAAGCTTCATCATCTGTGGCCAGGAGCAAGCTGGATTCTGGTTTGAAGGTCTGGTTGTCAACACACATTGCTTGGGGGGGGGGGTAGGGAAGATTAAATAAAGGTGGAGGGGTGGGCAAGGCTCAGGTCACACAGGGCTTGGGGAAACATGAGCTTGGGTTTAACACCAAGTGTAATGGCATGACTTATGAGTTTTAAGCAGGGTGATGGTAGCATGCCCCAATTTGTTTACAAAAGATCACGAAGGCTACTGTACGGATAATGGGTTGGAGAAAACAGTGCAAAGAGGAGATGGCAGGAGACACGGGTGAAACGTGACGGCCGCTTGGGGCACGGTGACAACAGTGAAGATGGATGGAAACCATGTTAGGACAGCATGTCTGTGAAGACTGCACAACCCGCCTCCACTCACTCCTCCCGTCCAAGTATCAACACCCACAGCGGCTGACTTGTATGTATCCCGATTTTCTCTTTCTAGTAACACCTCCGATACTGAGTTTAACAGAGACCAACCAGGGTCGGGCTGCCTCTGCGCGGCGGCCAGACACAAAGCTGGGGAGTTGATGCCAGGTCCGGGCTGACGCCCGGGGTGGGGGGGGGCAGGGGGGGCGGAGAGGCCCCTGCCACCCCAGGTGAGCGCGCCGCGCCGTCACTTCCGGTCGCAGGCGCGCCGACACGCAAAGCGCGCGCCCAGCTCGAGCCCACTCCCGTCCGCTCGCGCGGATGGATTCCTTCACTCCGACCAGGGTCCCAAGACCGGGTCGCGGGCATCTGGGAGGCTCAAACGGGACCCAGACACCTCCCCCCCGACGTTCAGCCCGGCCGCCGGAACACTCACCCCGGGGGCGCACAGACGCCGGGAGGGAAACGCAGACGTCGCCGCCGCCTGCCGCCGAGGGACCCGACTGTGATCGGCCACGGCGCATGCGTCCTCGGCCTTCCGAAGCCCCGCCCACAGCGGTGACACCGGCCGGGACTAGCGCGAGGGAAGCCCAGGGCGCAGGCGCCGCCGAGTGCGCTTGACCCTGCGGGCGAGACCACGTGGTGTGGGGAACGGCTGTAACCCCGCCTGCTGCCGGGGAGCTGGGTGTGAGTGTCCTCTTGGTGAGGGCTGCGGTTTGGGGCTGGAGCTTCACTCCTGGTGAAAAGTGCCCCCCTAGTAAGGCGGTTAGAAGAATGAAAAGAATATCCCCGGAGAGGGATGGCGGGTGGGGAAGTGTGCAGGCGGGCCGTGGGCGTGGAGTGCTTGCAAGTAACCGTGCGTTACAGCGAGAAAGTGAGCTTGGGGGAGCAAGGCTTGCGCGCCCCGCATTTAGGTAACCGTGCGAGCTCGGCGTTGTGACCTCTGGATCTCGCAAGGCTTTGAGCACGCGAAGAAGAAGGGTTAAAAAGCCCCCACTTAGCGCCACTCTGTGGGGCAGGACTGGGGAGGGGGCCGGAGGAGAGATGGGGGGTACTTAGATGGCCTGGTTAGTAAGTCAATCACTTAATATCTGTCAGCAGATCAAGGAGGTAGGGAGGATTTTTGAGCCCGGTGAGAATTCTTGCTGGAGCAGTTGAAGAAACAAAATACCCACACTTAGGTTCAGAACAAAGGGAGGAAATTGAGCTATGCCTTAAGGAGTAGCAGTGATGAGTGGTAGCTGTGAGCAAGTTCTCAGCTCAGGGATTCTGGTGCTGGCAGAGGGTAGGTTTTCCAGGGATCAGGAACAGAAAGTTCTCAGGGAGTTGCGGTGAACAAGGAAAAGATTTTTGGGGTTTGGGTAGCGAAGGGCCTTTGAGTCCTAGGGCAAGTCAGGGTTAATTAGGCAGCTTTGGTGACAGTACTGACAGGGACTCCGGAGAGTTAAAGAGGCTTCTGAGGTACTGACAGTACATTCCAAGAGGTGCTAACCAAAACATACTCCAGAGATGAGGGCAGAAATCTAGAAGGTTAATGGTGGCAGTGTATTTTAAGGTTAGTGGGGACAGTAACTTTTAAGACCTTGAACACGGGAGGGAAGGAGAAACTCAGGTATGAGCTGGTGAAATGGGCACATCTGCCCAGAGGTGTATAGCCCCTAGGGAAAAGGTTTGCATACCCCTAGATTTGGGCCCATAAAGGATTCTTTGCCCCTCCCAGGTACAATGCACCTGGCAGTCATTGCTTTCTTCCTTTGAATAAACTGTTCTTTACTTTCTTGAATAGTTTGCTTCTTGAATAAAGTTTGTTTCTCTCTGCTAGCTTTTCTAAAAAGTTTGTGAATTCCTTCTTTACAGCTTCATGGGACAAGTTCAACACGAAATGGGGGTTGGGAAGTGGACTTCATAATGCTTATTAATATCACCATCTTTCTCCTGTTGAAGCATTAATCCTCATAAAAATGAAATTTGTTTTTTGTAAAGGGATAAAGTTCTGTTCTCTCCCAAAAAAAATGTTGAGAACAGAGAGACAATTGAGAAGACACTCATTTTAATGATCGAATGTGAAAGCAGAGTTTCCTTCAGTTACACAGTGGTTCACAACTGTTTTGGGAATGCAGTCCCTTTTTTAATGTGTACTGTTTTGGAGAGGCCCCGAGTTTCAGTCAGAATTGTTGACAATTTATAATATCTTTCACAAAGGTTTGGGCAGGATATGGGGAAACAACTCATGAAGGTAAAGTGTCCCAGGGGCTAGCAAAGAGCTTTTCCCTTCTGTTATGGACTGAATTGTGTCCTTGCAGATTCTGTTGAAATCCTAACCCCCAGTACCTCAGAGCAGAACTGTATTTGGAGACAGGGTCTTTAAAGATCGAAAGAGGGGCCTCCCCGGTGGCGCAGCGGTTGAGCGCTGGGTTGCAAAGCTGCCCGCAGCCTCTGCAGCACCGGTTTGATCCCCGGCTGCTCCCTGGCCACCAGAGGAGGGTCCCACATGGCATGCAGACCTCTCCTGCCACCCGCTGCTCCCCTCAGCAGTGTACTTAGGTCCTTCTGCCTGCTCTGCTCCCCGCTCTGGCTCTGGTGAATTCTCTCACCCTCCCGTGCTTCTGACTGTACCCAGTGCTTGTATGTATGTATGTATAAATCAATCAATCAATAAATAAATCTTTAAAAAAATAAAAAAATAAAGATCGAAAGACCTTTAAGTTTAAATGTCATTAGCGTGGGTCCAATCCCAATATAACTGGTGCCTTTATAAGAGAGATTAGGACTCAGACAAGCACAGAGTAGACTATTAAGGACAAAGGGAGAAGGATGGCCATCTACAAGTAAAGAAGAAAGTCTGGGGAAAAACCTGCCCTGCCAACACCTGGATCTCAGACTTCTGGCCTCTGCAAATGTTAAGATATTTAATTTCTGTTGTCTATGGTACCACTTTATGGCAGCCATAGCAAATCAATACACCACCCCTGAGCCTGAAAGGATGATGGGAAGATAGAGGTTCAAAAGAAAATAGCTGAGGGCCTCCCCAGTGGCGCAGCGGTTGAGCGCTGGGTTGCGAAGCTGCCCGCGGCCTCTGCAGCACCGGTTTGATCCCCGGCTGCTCCCCGGCCACCAGAGGAGGGTCCCACATGGCGCGCAGACCTCTCCTGCCGCCCGCTGCTCCCCTCAGCAGTGTGTTTCGGTCCTTCTGCCTGCTCTGCTCCCCGCTCTGGCTCTGGTGGGTTCTCTCACCCTCCCGTGCTTCTGACTGTACCCAGAGCATGTATAGACAAAAACAAACAAACAAACAATAAATAAAATAATAGAAAAAACATGCCTCTATAAAAAAAAAAAAAGAAAATAGCTGAATGGACAAGAGAAATGCACACTTGCCCTTGGTCACTCAGCAAGAGGGAGCTAAATACCCTGGTCTCACCATCTTATATTATTGTATCTGCTGGTATCTAATCTCCCATTAGTCAAAACCTACCAAAAGCCAGACAGCAAGGGAGCATGTTGAGGCCTGTCCATATAGGTCAGCCTCTTAAGGAACAGGAGAGGGTAAAGAGATGAAGAGTAAGTCTGGAGCATAAAAACAAGAACACAACACATCATATCCCACCCATTTGTAATTATCCTCTAAATAGCCCTTTAATTTAGAAAAGGCATAATGATGTCAAGTCATTAATTCAATAAAGCTATTTGGGTGAAGTGTAGTTAATTACAGGTTTTATGTACTCTCTCTAGGCCTAAGAGTAGTAATAAGGTCACATTAACAGTGATAACTCAGATTTTGATGAATTCTCAGGATGCCTCTTTTGCTCATGCCCTTATGAGTTGGATTGGTGCCCTCCAGAGAGATCCCTTGCCCCTTCTGTTATGAGAGACACAGACAAGAGATGGCTATCTAAGACTCAGAAAATTGGGCACTTACCAAAACTAAATCCCCTGGCATCTTGATCTTGAACTTCCCAGCCTCCAGAACTGTTTATAAATCACCCATTCTATGGTATTTTGTTAGTAGCCTAAACAGAATAAGACAGATAGTATATGAAGAATGGTGGGATTTCTACTAACTTATTTGTAATACTTATTTACAAACTTAGAAGTCCAGTTGTCAACCAAGACTCTCTCCCTTCCTCTCTACATTCACTCTTGGTCATTGCTTTGAATATTCACATTCAAAAGAATGAAGTTGGAATCTACCTCACATCATATACAAAAATTAACTCAAAAATGGATCAAGGAGCCTTCCTGGTGTCTCAGGGGTAAAAGTCTTAGCGCTATTAAGCTATCACCAGCCACTGCAGCATGAGTTCAATCTCCAGCCAGGGAGCTAACCCCCATGGCACAGCAAACCTCTCCTGTCTCACCCGCTGGTCCCCTCAGCAGTGTATTTCAGTCAGTCTGCCTGTTCTGCTCCCCACTCTGTCTCCGATGAATCCCTCACCTCCCACACCTCTGCCCTATACCCCAGTTCTACTACACATAAATAAATAAAAATAAATCTTTAAATAAAATAAATAAAAGGAAAAAAATGGATCAAAGACCTAAATGTAAGTACTAAAACTATAAAACCCTTAGAGGAAAACTTAGTGAATCCTCATAACCTCAGATTTGGCAAATCTGAGCAGAGCAACAAAAGAAAAAATCCATTGCACTTCATCAAAATTAAAAATGTGTGTGGATCAAAGGACACAATCTACAAAATCTAAAGTTTTGGAGTGAAGAAAAGACAACCCACAGAGTGGGAGGAAACATTTGCAAGTTATATTGATTTGGGTCTAGTACGCAGAATATATAAAGAAGTCTTCCAACTCAACAACAGCAAAATAAACCAATTAAAAAATGAATAAAGGACTTGAATAAGCATTTTCCAAATATACAAAGCTATTCAACATCATTTCTTTAGGGAAATGCAAATGAACACCATAGTGAGATACCACTTTGAATCTATTTTGAATCAAAAAGCAGAAGATAACAAATGTTGGCCAGGAACATTTGTTCTGAAACCCCCAGACTCTGTTGGTGGTAATGTAACAGTCTGCAACTGCTTGAAAATAGTCTGGTGAGTAGTCGGATGATCCAGAAACCACTTTTAGGTATTTAACCAAGAGAATTGATAATACAGATCCACACAAGAAAAGGATTTGTAATGGTCACAAAATGGAAAAATCCAAAAGTCCATCAAGTGATGAAAAGATCAAATATAATGGAATATTACTCAGTCATGAAAACAATGCAGTACTGACACATGCTACAGCTTGGATGAACCTTGAAAACATCCTTCTCTGTGAAAGAAGCCAGACATTGGACCACATGTTGTATGACTCCATCTATATGAAATGTCCAGAGCAGGCAAACACATACAGACAAAAAGCAGATTAGTCTGGGGAAAAGAGGAGCTGGAAAAGTAAATGCTGAAGACTATGGGGCTTCTTTTGGGGGTGAAAAAAAAAATGTTCTGGAACTAGATAGTTGCACAGAATGCACTATTTTGCAAATATTCTTAAAACAACTGAAAATTGCACATTAAA